AACAGTTACATCTTCATCCTTTCTGTTAGGATACTGTTTTACTGCGTTTGTTGTATGTTTGGATGGTTAAATTGCTGGAAAGTGAAATGTTTTCTCACTAAACAACGTACAGGACGAACAACATGGGGAATGTGTATTTGTTTATATCGGTAGAATCCAGGACAACATCAGTACGGTACAAATCACTACTTCAGTTGTGGTTAAACAACATGTGTATCGGTAGAATCCAGGACTACATCAATACGGTACAAATCACTACTTCAGTTGTGGTTAAACAACGTGTGTATCGGTAGAATCCAGGACTACATCAATACGGTACAAATCACTACTTCAGTTATGATTAAACAACATGTGTATCGGTAGAATCCAGGACTACATCAATACGGTACAAATCACTACTTCAGTTATGGTTAAACAACATGTGTATCGGTAGAATCCAGGACTACATCAATACGGTACAAATCACTACTTCAGTTGTGAGTTAAACAACATGTGTATCGGTAGAATCCAGGACTACATCAATACGGTACAAATACACTACTTCAGTTGTGAGTTAAACAACATGTGTATCGGTAGAATCCAGGACTACATCAATACGGTAAAGATCACTACTCAAATTGTGGTTAAACAACTCCATAATTGGACGCTACCTCCATCATGCTCGACTAAATGTTGTAGACAATTTTTCTTTAATCTTTCACCACTCCTGCGACAAACAAAATGATGTTTGTTTGTTCCAAAAATCTCAAATATGTATTTCAAGTACTATTCGCCACATACAGGTTGTACTTGTTTTTGGCAAACTCGTGTTTCTTCTGTTTTTTTGCCTTTCCAGAACAAAGGTTTTTCTCGTTACAACGCACCTTTTCAGCCCTTCTTGACGCAATTTGCGTGGAAATGTGGAAACGTCAACTTCTTTAACGCCAGTAGTATCTTGAAGCTCTGCATCAGCAAGGCAGCTGCTAGACTTATTTATCTATCTCTGGGTGGAGTAAGCCTAGGGCACTTAACAGCTGATCTGGAAAGCTTAAGTGGTCTTCCTGACCTTCTCTTGATATGAGTGATACCAGTTTCACTGTATCATTTTACTATGTTTTGAACTCGAGCTTTTGATAACTTCGTTCTTGCAAATACTTCTCGCTGATTGTAGCCCTGTTTATATAAAGTCTATTATACTATGTCTTACTTCATCAAAAACTGTGTGTCTCGGAGTCGTAGTTTGTAGTTGAAAGTAGAACACTCATGTTAAAGACACAGACTAAAAACAAATTGTCTGTACTTTTATCAAAAGGAAAACAAATTGTGTTTTTTATACCTTTACAATAAAAAGTTAATAAATGCGTGGAATGCCATCTGATTCAGAAACAAAACTATTGTTAGTTCTGACATTCTCGTACCCCATGATATAGAATTAATTTAAACCAAACACGTTTGTAAGGAGACAATACATAATGTTTTTATATTGGCATTATTAATTGGACACCTTTGCAATAGAGACTAAATGACGGTCTCTAATCTATCCAAAAAATGTATATATTCAATATACTTAACTTAATGTAAAGCTGTACATACTTTAACGAGAAATAAAAAATTTTTTGTAATAAAATGCCAGTATCAAATCATCTGGAGAGAAAGATTGGGAATAATTGTTATATCTTGATGCTCGTCGATATAGGTATATAAAATTCGTACTTTTCTTCGAACTTTTAAACGCACGATGGACAAAAATTTCAATTATAGTGTAGAAGGCTGTAGGGCCCAGCGTGTATTGCAGAGAATTTCACTTTCAGGGAGTTTTTTTCTTGACATTTTCTGTGCTCCTTTATATTTTGTATAATTAATAGAAAACTAAAAACTAATTTAAACTGATTTTTAGGCGTGAAACTCTAAATACAAAGTGTTTCTAGAATATTTATATTTGAACGTTACAAGTTAAACAAAGGCTTTATCATTAACATTTGAAACATATGTAGCCTGAATATTAGTCAGTTCTCAGTTTCTCTTGATTGTGTGTTAGTACTAAATATTTAAATCAGAGCTGTAGAGAACTAAATCTGGTTAAAGTTAGATTGTAGCTTGTCTCGAGAAAGCTCAGCTGCAAATTATTGATTCCAGCATTGAGATTTATATTTATATTTTAAAATGAAGTTTATTATATTCTGTTTACCCTTTGCATAATAAAAGTACTGTGTCGAAAATGTATATAATTCACCATCTTTATCAAGGATAGAGGGAAAGGTTCAGTAGCTTATTCAGCGAATGAGGGCTAGTTATTGGTCAATTATTTTTTGCCTGTATATACAGTCTTGGCTAAAATGTTTGCGTACTGTTCTATACTGTCTACATACAAGGAGTAGTTATTTAGTAAATGCCCGAGTAGTAACAGGGAAGTTAGCTTATGATCGGACAAACATGTACGAGTTGTTATTCTGGTCTGTATAGGTTGTTTTGAGCATTTGTTCGTCATAACACACCTGTGTGCTTGTGGTATAATATTTTTCGGAATCGATCAATGCTTTGTTCAAACAATTCCTCTGTACTTGATGTAGAGTCATACTTCGTCACGTGTCAGAAGTTATATGGTGTCAAATTGTTCGAATGTCCAGAAATGGTATGAAGCAAACAGACATTGTCAAAACAGTGGAGTACCCGCAGTTTACTGTATCCAGAATTCTGAAACGTCATCGGACTACAAGAAACGTTGTTCCAGGAAAGTCTACAAGTAGACGCCGAAAAACTACTGCCCGAGATGACGATGCTTTGATCAGGTTAACACATCAAGGACGAAATAAGTCTTGCAACACCATACGATAGGAATGGCATGAAAACATTCATTCCAGGGTATGCAGAAGAACAGTGAACAGGATACTAGCCAAACAATGTTATTTTGCAAGAAGGGCTATCTGCAAACTGATATTAACCAAAATTCACCACCGTCACCGTGTTACTTGGGCAAGACAGCATGCCAACTTACAGTTAGGACACTGGCGACATGCCATCTTTTCAGATGAGTCCTGTTTCGGACTTGTTAAAGCTGGTAGTAAGATTCGTTTCGTCGTTTGCCTGGAGAACAGATGAGGGAAGACTATTTTCCATAGAAAACGCACAGGAGGTGGTGCAGTACATCTTCGGGCAGCTTTTCATCATGATGAGAAAATTGTTCTTCATTCCTTCCAGGGAAACGTCAATGGCGCTCCCTACAGGCATCACATGGAGACGATGTTTCTGTCATATGCTAAGGCAAGGCTTGACAATAATTTTGTGTTCCAGGATGAAAATTCCAATGCGTGTATTGTACAGGATTATCTCGATCAAAAGAATGTTACAAGAATGCCATGGCCATATACCAGTTGAGAACTGTTGGGCAGAACTGAGCCGGAAAATTGCAAACCACGATCCTAAACCAGCTACTGTAGCTCAGTTGTAGCACTTTCTAGTGAAAAGTTGGGATGAAATCTCGGTGGATTACATCAATAACCTAATCGACAGCATACCACGTCGCCTTGCAGAGGTTATTAGAGTACGAAGAGGACCAGTCAAGTGCTGAATATTTAATATGAACTGATATAAGGTTACAGACGCTATTTATAATAATTTG